GACATAAATTTTTAGTTTTGAGTCCCCATGTTAGGTGAGTCAGTGCACTTTTCGTCATCGATAGTGTTGAAGTTTCTTCATATAAGATGAGTTGATTCACTCCCAAAGTGTCAACTTGATCATAATGAATGTTCAATGCATTAAGTGAGTCAACTCTCTTTTTACAAAGAAGTGAACAAACAAAACAAGAAATTAACAAAACTTAAAGGTGCAAGGATTCTTTTGATAAGGTTAAATATGATGTGCTTTAGCATAAAATTACCATTATGCCATTACAAGGTGTCCTTTCCATTGTGAATATAAAACCCATCTTATTAAGTGAGTCAACTCACTTCCTAAAATGAAATAGAGAAATGATAGATTTTGCAATCAGGCAAAAAATCAATGATAATAAACTTTTTAACAACATTATTTTTCTTACCATTGTTTTTTTTAGAATAAAATTAATTTTTTATCTTTCTTTGAATTTTTTGAACATCAAAATTAGGAAGGCTCCAAAAGCCAACACCATTAAGAGTGTTCATTCTAATTCCATTACATATTTAAATACAGATTGAAACAAGCACAATAATCACAACTCACTGAAATAGATAATCTCATTTGATTGTTTAGAAGTCATTGGTATTTTGATTATGATTACAACATAACAAGGTAGTTTAGTTGTTCTCTTAAGAATTGATTTGCATAATTCATTAATATGAAGATCTTAAACATTTTGAAGGGCGTTTAAGTGGATAAAATTAATGTAGACAATTATATTTGAACATTATCTATCAAATAAGATTTTGGAATATTTATGTATTTTGTATTGATTTATTTCATGTTGAAATAAGTCTAAATAAGACAATGAATCTTGTTATTGGGTCTGGATTTAAGGTAGAACAAATGTTTATTGGGCCTAAATTTTAAGGCCTAATGGATCGATTTATTGGGCATGAATTTGTGTAATGGATCCCTTTATTGGGTCTGAATCTAAGGCTTAACGGACTTGTTTTTTGGATGTAGGTTAGAAGGTATCACTTCTGCTATTAAAACCAGAACTGATACAGTTTACCACATCCACGATTGAAACTGAAATTGAAGAACATTTACCATATCTGGTATCACAATTGAATACCGTTTACGATATCCATGACTAAATTCGAAATTGAACAATTGTTTTCCTTATTCATGATTAAAACTGAAATTGAATATCATTTTGTGTATCCATGAAGTAGAAATGAATTATTTCATTACTATAACTGAATCTGATCGATAAGTGATACTTATATGATGTTAAACTCGAAAAAACCTAATATAAATAAGAGAAAGAAATAAATAAAATAATTAAGAGAAAAATATATAAAAAAGTATCATATCCACCGCCTTACTCTTTGGAGTCCAAGCTCTATTTCTACACATTGGGCCATTTGGAAGCAGAAAAAATCAACCGCTGCTGAAGAACTTCAGTGACTCATTCACACAGAAGTTTCCTCAATGAGAAAGAAGAAGATTAAAACCTTCAGAAAACTAGAAGATTAATGCCAGGAATGATAACAAGTTTTAATTTTGTATTTAGAGTGCATAAATATTCAAAATGTCCATGGAGGTTAAATCTAGAGGAGATTAACTGTGGTTAATCTTGTTAGCCTTTTAGAGTTGAGAATCTAAAAGAACTATAGGTAGGATCTTGAGTTGGCTGGAACTGTTAAATGCAACAAGAAGGTGGCTGAACCTAGAAATTTAGTGTGTGAAATACTAAGATATTAATAGATCCCAAGGGCTGAGATTTTTGAGAATGGATGTAGGTCAAGAGGACCGAACTACTATAAAATTATAGTTATTTTATTGATGATTTCTTGCCTAAAATATTATTATTTAAATATTTAATATTTGGTGGAAAAAAATACAACTAATTCACTCACCATCTCAATACTATGCTGCCACTTAAAAGTTTACTAGTGGTATCACAAGTTTATATGAAATAACATCCTTCAGGAGTAGATCCAAATGCTGAATTCATCAACAGTAAACCTTGAAGGGTATTCAACCCATAGACCACATTGGTTCAATTGGACTAATTATACATATTATAAAAATGAGGATAAAAATATTTATTCATGACGCATATTATTATGCAAGAAAAAATATCACTTCTTATAGGAGTCAGGAGGATCAAACTACTATATAATTATGGTGTAATTTTGTTGATGCCTATCACATGAAATAATGACAACTTGATATTTAAGATTTGATAAAAAAATAAAGACTAGAAATTCACCCTTCCTGTTTGTGCTGTCCCTTAGAGGCCATTGTGTGAAGGAACAATGTGTGTCGGTAACACTAGCATAAAGAGTGGCTGCGTGGAAGTGTGTGAAACGTCGTGAGGAGGAACAACATCTATAGGCTGGTCGCACAGAAAGATGGAGCACCATGCAGAACAACATGACACCATGCAGATATGGTGTGTGGTGGTAGGCGAGGACATATGGAACGATGCCAGCTTGGGGAGTAGCTATGGGAAGGAACATGAGACCACGTGGAGAAGTGCACGCATGGGTATATGCTAGTGTGGTATGAAACAATGCCACCATGGGGAGCGATCATGCAGATGTGCATGATACACTAGGCGGAGGAACAACGATATCACACGCTCGCCTAGTGTGCTGTCAAGATTGAGTGGAGAGAATGTGCAGATTAATCTCCTTTGAACGATCTCTAAGAAGGAAACTGTTGGAATGTGGAATGTGGAATGTGGAATGTGATCTTCACGTATTAGGGACATCTGTGTCCTTTGTCCCTACGTATCAACCCTAACCCTGTGAAATAAGAGGGGGGAATCCATCTCTTCTTTAGGATGTGTTGGAGCGATGAGAGCCAGTTAATATGACACTTTGATGCCAACGTTGATCTTTCAATTTCTAATCCATGAAATCGGTACTAGGGGCAAACAAATGTCCTACCATTTGGGAGCCCTTCACACAGTTATGTGGGATGTGCCTTGGTTGGAATATGCAGTTTTCAAGTTAGGGTCTCTTGAAGCAAGTCCTCTCCCCCTAATAAGTGTGGCCCCTTGGTCGCCATCCATTAACTACCCTCATTCTATTGTAACAGTTTTAATTATCTTTAAGGTTAGCCACTAGTTAGAGCCTGAGTCGCATCTAATTTCGAAAAGAGGACATCAAAATAGCCATTATTTGGTCCACCTCCCAGTGGAGTCTTAATGAATGAGGATGATACATAGGACTGACGGGTAGCAATGGCAGAACACAATCTAGATTCAATATTGAGCATTGGGTAGGCACCTACGTTTTCTTTTTGCAGGAAGAAAAACCATTCAACGAAGAAAGAACAAGGTTTAAACAATGGGTCAGTGAAACTACATTTCATCTGGTTTTATTTTGTGACTTGGACCTTAAATCAAGTATACTCACTACTTTGAAACTTTTTCTTGCATTTGATAGATGCATACGAGTCAGGACAGCTATACCTTTATAGGTGTATGACTTGATATCTATTTTATATGTTTTTCTCTCAGCATTTATTAGGTTTGTTTAGGTCAAAACCTATTGAGAATCATGCAGATGTGTTATAATTTTTAAACATATATAGATTGAAAGGACGTGCTTTTGTGCAACCTTTAGTACGTATCACGGTCATGAAGAGTATAGTTACTTCAGATGTTGCAGGTCTAGGAGATGTCCTAAGTGTCAGTACATGCTTACGATAAATCTTTGTAATGATTTTAATTCTTTTTATTTGTCTCTTAAACTTATATGATAATTATAAAATCTGAAAGAATCTAATCCCCCCTCCCCCCCCTTCATTCTCCCTTTAGTTTCATTCTTTTATTCAATGTAAGAAACTTAGGAGGGAGTTTATCACAGATCAAAATAGGTGTATGGAAATAACGTATACATTGTACGGAGAGAGAAAATTTCTTGAAACCTAGTATAAATGAACCACTGACTAGATGCTATTTCTTTCATATGCACTTGACAGGCTTCAAGTGTACAATTGGCATCTGACAGTCCATTGTGAAATATATTATTTATCATTCTTCATCTAGGTCTAGGTTCTGTGTTTCACGAATTACTAGGAGCTGAAAATTGATGGCATGTGGTATGACGGTTAGTAATGGAAAATGAATGGTTACTCGGAGGTAAATAACATACTTCACTGTGATATATCGGGAGTAAATTCTTTCAAACTGTGCAACATGTAAGTCCATAAATATGCCCTATCTAATTTATTTCCTTTCACCCACTGATGCAATGAGATAAATAAACATTAAGGATAATTCGTTACTCACGAATAAAATTTGACTTACAGGACTTGTGATGCCTCAAAGCTGATAAGTATATTTGAGAACATTTAATTTTTCATTAGGAAGAAACTACTGAGTTATTATTGTAATCTTTCATTCAATGTAATGTGTTATTATAATTTGTTATCTTTTTAAAAACATTTACTGATTGGCCAACTGAGTTGCAAACTAGGGATTTTAAAATCAGAAATAACTAATTGAATATATTTTTTTCTGATTAAATGTTATCACTCAAACACCAAAAAAAAAAAGTTCAAGATGTAGAAGCTTGTTCCTTGCTAATGAGGGATGCGCAGAACCGGACAGGGATTTCATACATGCTTAATAGCGGTTTCCGGTTTCCAGGTTATGAACTGTGGGCGCCCCGCTGGCTGTTCGCCCACTCCTTCCAACCCCACTTTCCTTCTCTCTTTCTCTCTCTATCTCTTATAACGTTATGGACGGTTCAGGGCTTTAAATACTCCCTTACCCCTCCCCGCTATCCCAAAATCTCTCATTCTCACACTGATCAGCTGGTCGCCCATTATATTTCTTCTCTAGTCAGCCTCCAGAAGTTGAAGAAGAGGAAACGATCGAGGAAGAAAGGTCCAAAGCCAGGGGGGGAGATATTTCCTCATCCCAGGCTGTAGGAGCTCCAAGCAGCTGCGGTGGAAGGGCAAGGAACCGCACCGGGAGACGGAGATCTGGTGCAGCCATGAGGGCCAGCTGTAATGGCTGCCGAATCCTTCGCAAGGGATGCAGTGAGGCCTGCACCATCAGGCCCTGCCTGGAGTGGATCAAGAGCGCCGAGTCCCAGGCGAACGCTACCGTCTTCCTCGCCAAATTCTACGGCCGTGCCGGGCTCCTTAACCTCATCAATGCTGGCCCTGATCACCTCCGCCCAGGTACGATCCAGAGGCTTCGCTGCTGAAACAGTAATCTATGGATTCTTACGATTAAACGAGATGGGTGTACACTGCACACCGTCCTCATTCGTCGCATCCCTCAAACCCTAAGAACGGGGAGTGGCCAGAAAAGGATCTAATCGGAGGCTTTTCGTGAGGATGCAGCTATCTTCCGATCACTACTCTACGAGGCATGTGGCCGGATCGTCAACCCTATCTACGGTTCCGTCGGACTCCTCTGGTCAGGGAGATGGCAATTCTGCCAGGCTGCCGTCGAAGCCGTCTTTAAGGGCGGGCCAATCATGCAGGTACCCGCTGACTGCGACTCCGAAACCCAAGCTGCTTTTCTCCAGAGGGTTTCGTCCTTCGACATCCGCCACGTCTCCAAGGCCGCAGGGGGCACCTCCGGCTTCGATCTCAATAAGGTCAACAAGGCCACCCGCGCCCGCTTCAAGCGGTCGGGTAACCGCATCTCGGAGGTCCTCTCCAACCCCGCTACAGATTCCACTAGCTTCCGGTGGTGCCACCCCGCTGAATATTGGCTGGAGCCGAGCAAAGACACCGCCTCCGGCGCTGTGGAGGTTATATTGGTCCCCGCCGAAGCTGTGGCGGGGGAAAGCCGGGAGAACGAGAGCATCTTATCTCTGGAGACGGTGGAGGCGTCTACGGTGGCGAGCCAGAGCGACGTGGAGCTGGAGCTGACGCTGGGCTACGAGACCGTGCACCAACACCACAGTCCATTCCGCGGAAGCAGCAGCAGCAGCAGCAGCGGTAGCTTCGGCCGCCGTGCGGAGGACAGCCCGATGAGAGTTGAGGCAGCGTCTCAACGGTGCCCTCGCGGGGCCTTTGACGGTGCTGCCGGAGGTTCAGATAGGGTGGATCTGGGGCTTAATCTGCCTGCCTGATCGCGTGTTTCCCAGGGTCAGCTTGAGATCTTATGTTTCACATTTTGGTTAAGTTTCTTCTTTCTTTCTTCTCTCTTTTACCTGTCTTGCATTCATCGCATATATACAGTCACAAACACTACTTTTTTCTTTTTCTTCTTTCTGCTTCTGTATTTCTTCTGGGGATAGATGGGGGGCTCGCTGTTAATCGATATAGTCGTATGGAACAATCATCTAACGTGGAGAGTTCCAGTCGAAAAGCCGGTACAGATATTTGAGATGGCCACATATAACACAAGACGGTGATGTCAGCGCTGAGGTCTCCTCGATGTCTCGGTTCTCCGCAGACTCATTTTCCGAGAAGACTGAGTAAAGGAGAGATTTCATAAACGTCCGTGTGAATGAGGAAACATAAGGTCAGAGGACAGTATCGAGGGATGGATTTCAGAGTTGATAACTGATACCTTGTTTCGATTATCTTTTATAATTTTTGTCAATTAATTTACGTCAATTATGTTATCCAGTTAATACATTATGTGTGAAGTCTAAACCATTAGCCGCCATTTGTATCTATTTCTTCCCAACAATCTTAGACTCAAAGGCCCGTTTGTCTCTCTCCCAATGATCTCTTTTCCTAAGGTCTTTTTTAAATTCTCGGTCGCAACATCACTCCACACCCTCGCATATCGGGATTCTATCTCCCAAATAAAATTTGATTTTTGTCATTTTCAAAAATTTAATCTTTGAAGTTGACAATAAATATTAGGAGTATACTCATACTTTTTATCGAAGAGTCAACTGTAGGACTGAATCCCCACCGTCATGAAGTTTTAAGGGAGTGAAGGACGACAGCAAAGAAAACCTAATCGGCAAAAATTTACGGGAGACTAAAGCTACTCAATAATAAAATTTCCCCTATTAATAAATCAATGTGTCAAAAAAACTTTGAAACATACGACGGTGACATGCCAACCAACAATCTTGATTTTGGACGCGCAATCCCGATATTACTAATGTGAAATTATATGGTCTCTATGGCTCACTTGGAGGCTGACGCGGAGACTGGAACATAGGAGCAAAGCCTATAGTCCCCATTGATATCCACACGTGTGAGACTTGCATTCATTCCTTCCAAACCTCAGTCTTCGTTCTGCATCTAGATTGCTTATTTAGGAAACAAATGAGCGAGTCCGTCATCTGATCCCTCACCCTCTGAAATCCCATATTCTCTCTTCACTGTTCCACTCTAAGTTACCACGGAAATAAAAGAACCTACTTGGGAAGCTACTAGCCTTAGTCAATACTTCATCGTGGCGCCGTGACTTGTCCTCGTGTGAAATGGTGGGGATTAAATAAAACCGGCACGTTCCTTGAGATAACGTAATCAATGACGCATGGAGATGGATGGCCATTTCTAAGGCTTCTCTCTCCTCGGAAGACTTAGCTACCTGTCCGCTGGCCCCCTCTTCTAGAACGCCAAGGATTAAATATGGCCGTTCGAGAGATTATCGTGTTATAGAAATCGGAGGCCAGTAGGCTGGTTAATAAGCGGTTCCGTGGGTGGGCCTTCGCGTCCACCCAGGTAGGGGGAAGGGAGGAATTCCGGTCCCCGGAATGCGATATTAAAGTAAGCTCCTCCCTCTGACTTAAATCTGCGCATCCTAATTATGAACGTTGATTCCTTAAATAATAGTTTCTTTTCTCCCGCTGCCTCCCACCCCCATCGTTATCTGTCTTTATTTATTGGGTCATTGAGCTGTGACTGCGGCGGTGAGGTTTCTAAAACGCGTTGTCTAGTATAGCGTGTGGCGGTCACGCGCCCTAGGATTTGAACTTACGAGGCCCACGCTCAATGGCCTCCGCGTCTACTGCAGGTATTCGCCAACTTGGGAGAAGCGAGGAACGCGGAATCAGATTGGTTTGTCAGAGGGACGAGCTCGAATAGGGTTTTGAAGTAAAAAATGTATATTGTTGGATATGGTGTTAGAAATAGGTGGAGAAGAGAAAAAGGAATTTGTATAAAATCACAAAATAAAAAAACCGTCCCTCTCACTCGCCGGTGTTGATCGGCAATACAGAATTGCAAAGCCTCCACCTGCTTTCTCTACTTTCGTTCATTCTCCCCTCCTGGTCCCCACCGAACAGTAAAGATTGACCAGATCAACGGCAGCTGAATTTTACCGTGGTCAAGTACAGCAGTCGATCTCCGTTTCTACGATATCAGGTCACAAGACGCACATCCTTAAGTATCAGTGAGAGCTAACGTTTAGGCACATCCATGAACAGTAAGATGATGATTTAAATACCTAATCATATACATAAATATTAATAGATGTAATTGTACATAAGAGGGCAGGGATATATGCGTATATTTACAAGAATACTTGATCGAGGTAGTACTTCAAAAATCAGATATAACTGCGCGAGTAAACTAAACAATGGGTACGTGTTGTTAGGAGCAATAATTTGAGAAAGTCGGCACAATTTTTACTTTCAGAGGTCAGGAAATAAGCGTCGCAGGACATATAATTAATATTTTTGAGGTTATCTACGGAATAAAAGTACCGGCGGCTCACTTGTATTGACCAATACGGGCCCAGCTACCATTTTCTATACAAACTAAGAAGGGTTACAACAAGAATGCCTTGATTACACGTCTGTCATCGTACTCGCTTAAGATGACGCTGTTCTCAACTGTGAAGAATTTATTGAACTAAACGATCATCCTTTATCCGTCACCAAGGCTCGCCTAAAATGGACTCGTCGAGACTGGGGAATCAAAGTCATCGTGCATTATAAATAATCGATGGCGCGTGCCCCCTATGTTGCCGTCCGCCACATACGCTGCACGAGAGAACCCGTCACGTCTGATCTCATATACTTGGGTCTTGATTTATCGTGATGTTCGCGATGCATGGATCGAGGTGGTGGAGGTTTGCAGCTTTGTTTTCGTTTTCCATTACTGCAGGCCCACACTCTCCTCACTCGATTTCATCTTAATACCACCCCTATAGAGATGTGGTAGGGGAAGAGAGAACCATTAAGGGCTTAATGAGGTTGCTACTTCTAGAACGGAGAGGAGGGCTGCCTTGTGGGGGAAAAGGGAAAGGTGAAGAGCCTTTCATAAAAAAAGGAGGTGATCTGGCCATTTGTGAACCTATACTTTGCTAGCATATCTGTAATCTAAGCCAATGAATACAGTATGTTCTGGGCTGCAATTATGAACAAGACGCAGCCGCTAAGAACTATAAATTTCATGAGGCTCCTCCAGAGTGTCTCTTATTGCGAGAGGGAGAAGAGCTAGAATCTCTTTGTCGTCAATTTCAGACGGGAGCGTAGGCTTCGTCTGCCGGATTGTCACGGTTTCTTCTCGATAACACAGGGGAACGTGGTTCCTTGCTTCTCTAATGCCCTAGATGGAGGTCGTAGCTGGAGAAAGAGTAGTCTGTCATATTCAATGGCAAGACGTCGGTAAAATCCTAGTTGAATGAATGTTTTTCATGGCTGTCTACAAGGTGGGGAGAAGAAGGTGAAAGTACGGTCTCTAGCTTGTCTAATATCAATGGGAAACTTTGATTCCTCTTCTTCTTTCTCTGTCTATTTCCATCTCTTTATTGGACAGTTGAACCGTGATTTATTAGGCTTGCTCTAGTCGTGAATAGGCATCGGGCAACAGATATGTGAACAGATAGATATACACCAAATTTCAATAACAATGCAAAGGCTCTTCAGTTATAATGTTTTCGAGCTACATCACGCACACAGCTCAATAAAATGTAGTGTACCAAGAGGAAATCAATGCGAAAACTAAGAGAGCGGATCGGGGACCCTGGGCCTTGTCCTGAAACTTGCCGTTTACAACCGAGCGTTAACAACAGATCCAGCAAGAAGAGGCCATGTTTGGTGATTCACGGAGTGTCTCCCCACCCCGGCAACTTTGAGCCCCTCTTTTAAGATCCGTGGAGTTTCCGACCGTAGAATACTCCTGGAGAACGTGGAGTCCACCTCACCTTGTTATATAAATAATGACAGGCGCGTGTCCCCCACGCTCCCTTCTCCGCCACATACACTGCACCAAGGACCCGCCACGGCTGACCTAAGAAGGCCGGCAGTCTAAAATAAAGAAAGATAGTAGGGACCCATGCTACTGGACGGAAGATATATTACTCCTCTTAGCCAACTTGGGTTTAGACTAATCAACGAGCCGATTAGGGGCTGGATTGATTACGAGGTGGCAATGGTGGTTTTGTGAATCAGTGAAAATTTTTAGCAACCGGCCCATCATTTCTATATTTCTTTTGGTTTCACAATTAACGGATATCAGGACGATCATGGCTTTAATAAGAATAGAGGCTGTATGGTCAATACACAGACCTTTAATGAACGATCAGGCCTAGTGGGGAAAACCCCATGGAAAGTGACATGAGAAAGCTGTTTTCCCTGTTACAGGGGGCGACTGATGGACGATAGGCCAAGTTGCATCCAATTGGAAATGACTAGATTTGGTTTAGCTGTTGAAGGGTCAAACAATCAGCTAACTCCCAAATAGATTGGCTAACTAGATGATGGGGTGGGTATTTAAGGAATAATGAATGGCGATTCTCTTTCCTTCACGTGAATTTAGATCTGTTGTCTTTCCTGGTGTAATAAAATATATATGGTAGGAAAACATCTTGTGCCAACGATCTGTTTGTACTTGTCGGATTATGACAGAAGGAAGGGTAGAAGGATAAAGCCCAAGTACAATAACTGAGTCAAGGGTTTCCGGCCGCACCCCCAAATGTAAAATGTTATTCATATACCTTTTTATTCTTAACTACGACTGATAATGATTCATAAGTAAGTTAAGCAAAAGGAAAAACATTGATTTAGTTGAAAGATGAAAAAGTGACAAAGCCCTTATGAGACTGAGTGACTTTGGGTATTATTGGTGGAGACATGATGATAAATTTTTAGTCGACATAATTTTGGAATGATCTGCTTCTGGTTATCCGATCTGTAGCAAAATAACAAACCATGGG